CATAGGAGGCCACAGAGCCTGCAGGGAGAGAGAAGCAGAAGCGAGACTAAGGAGGAGCACTCCTTCCCTCAGACACTTACCCTGGGTGCAACCGGGAGGAGCCCAGGGCCAGGTGGGCAGATGAGGGTCCCGGGGTAGCACCTGTGCAATGAGCAAGGAGGCCAAGGAAAAGCATGGTCCAGGCCATGGTACAGCTGCCCGCGTGTTCCTTCCTGAGGCCAGGCTGGGTGGCTTCCTCCCAGGCCTCTTATCCCCTTGTAGGAGAGAGCTGCGCATTATGTAAATCAGCCCAGCTCAGGGTGCCACTGGGGAGATTTCTGATGTCCAGAGCAGGGCTCAGGATTAGGTACAGAGCAAGAGTAGGGGCGGCCCTTCAGCCCCACCCACAGCCCTGGGAGGCTCCTTCACCTCTCAGTGCATAAGCAGGCCCAGGCTGTACCCTGCACTGTGTCCTGCTATTGTGGGTCAGCCTTCTCGGCAATCAGAGATCAGAAATGGAGTTGCCGTTTCCCAAGCCTCCTGACGTCCTGCGTGCGGGTGGTCCTGGTCCTATGTAGCGGTGGACTGGAAGACACACATCTGACTTTGACCAAGCCCAGGACTTTCCTGTGTTTAATCCTTGCTCTGAGGCAGTTGGCTTTGGTCTAGCTGCCGGGTACCCTGTCCATGAATGCTTTCTAGCAAAGTCAGATGTCAGGGGAGTCCCAGCTCCACTTTAGAGCTTCAATGACTGAGCCCAGTGCAGACTCATTGAATACACCTGAAGGACGACAGCAAGAAACTCAGCCTGGCACAGGCACTGTCCAGATCACACAGCTTCTTAGCAGAGAGACAGCTAAAGTCCTACACTGAGGCCGGTGTTGGATGCATGGCTGTAATCCCAGCATCCTGAGAGGTGGAGGTAAGAGTATGTCAAATTCAAGTCCCACCCAGGCAGTGTTTCCATGTAGAGAGATCCAATATCAAAATAAAAAAGAACTGGAGAAGTAGTTCATTGTGAACTTCACAGATTCATTTCACAGTACTGAAAATTTTTCTCAATTGCTAAGAAGTGCTATGAGTTAGTGCATTTGGTTGTGAGCTCTCAGGTAGATCATAAGTGTTGTGTGTTAGTATAGCCAGTATGCACAGAAACCCAGGGTCAGGTCAAGTGAGATAGAAATGTTTATATGAATGTCCCAGTGGGGTATAAACTCCAGGAAACTTTCATGCAAGTGTTTGTTATAATTGAATTGTATTCAGTTGCCAGAGAAATGATATCATGTAATAAAAACCTTAATTCAGAGAAAGCAAGCTTATTTAGCAAGCATTTTGTGCCTTATACTGGGAAGTCTGAGAGATCACATTTGGCTGCTGTTCACAGGAGAGAAATAGGCAGCGACCAGGTAGAAGTTCAACTGAGGGATGTTTCAGACAGAGATGTGGTGTGGCTTCGCCGAATGACTCTCTGCCGCCTCCTGGTGGCCACTCTACACAGAGTGCTGGAGGTTCAGGGGCTTCCTTGATCCAGATGTAGATTCAGAAGCTGCTGATCATGCACTGATTGCCTGGTCTATGGCCTGCTGGCCCCAGAGATTTCCGTTCTGTGTGTGGCCCCTGCATCCGTCAACATCAGGCACAGGGGGCTCAGATTACCATGAAAAATGAGCACCTCAATTTAGAGGAGGAGGAGGGACGAGGAAGAGAAGGAGGAGGGGTTCGGGGATTTACCTCAGCCGTTCAGTGGCCTGCTTACAAGCGCAAGAACTGGAATTCAATCACCAATACAAAAAAAAAAGAAATTTAAAGGAGGGCCCCTTGACACACCTGTGCACGTAATTCTGGGACAGTGATGGTCAGGAAGGTGGTGCTGGTGCTTCTCACTGGCAGACACCGGACTCGGGGCTGTGCAGTAGTCACACTGAGTTATGGACTCAACAGGTGACCTGATCCCCATCATCTTCTACTTGTGCCTGATGCCCCACAGTTTCTGCAATCCGGACCCATTTCCAAGGTTTTTCCCAGTGTGATTGACGGTGCGTCCTAGAGCAGGTGCGGGGGAATAATAGTCTTTTGGCTGAGTTTCTTCTTGGGAAATGTTTCTCTTAGGACGCAGGGAAGGAGATTTGATTTTTGTACCACTTTTCTGCTTGAATATGGGTGTGATGGCTGGAACTGAAGCAGCCATCTTGAAGTCTTTAGATGAGAGAGGTGAAATAAAAGCAACAAAAGTTAGCATTTTGTTGAAGAGTGGCTTTCCCAACAGAAGAGTCATTCTATTTCCAGCTTTATCTTTTGTAAGAGAAAATTAGGTCATCGCTTCTATTTGCCTCGAATGCTGACATATATTTGGTAGTGAAAAAACATTTCTGATCGCTGAGTTAAACTTACTTAGATAAAATTCCTCAGTTAGCAGGAAATCAAAGGGAAGAACCTCACCAGTGCAGCTCCTATGCAGATAATTAGTGTATGTTCAGAGCCTGACTGGTCCTAGTTTTAGTCATCAGCAGTCTGGGCCCTACCTGATGTGGTGGGGGCGGAATGAGGAAACGGCAGGAGAGTGAGGAGGGAGCTGCATCTCCTTCTGAGGAGACTGCGGTGTGTGAGGGTCTGAAAGGAACAATGGGACTTTTCAGGGGGTCTGAATCTGAGTGGGGTCCTGGATTCGAACTGCTTTCCCTCAGACAGGAGAGATCCTTTTCCAGTGTCATCAGGGGCAGGAAGGATGTGAAGCCCTGGAATGTTCCAGGCATTCCAGGAGGTCTGGGGCAGCTTAGCAAACACACTCTGTGGTGGCTTCTGGGATGATTTGGCTGAGCAAGGCCAGGTAGGCGAGAGCTGGGCTGAGACCTGCTTTGAGGCCCTGCTCTCAGGTACCTGGGCTGATGACTTGGAGGGAGTGATTGCTCTTCCCTTCCCTCTCCCTGGTACCCACTCTGCAGCCAAGTAGAGTCTTGCTCTTCGTCCTGAGACTCTAGTCCTAGACCCCACTGTCCTGAATTCCACATGTGTGGCAAACCATGCTGTCCTAAGGTCCCATGCTTTGCCCGAATTTCTGTTAACCAAGGAGTTGTGCTGTGTCCTTGACCAAAAAGGAAAGAGACTGACAAGGTGACTCATGCTTTCAAGGTCCCATGAGGGGAGGAAAGAACAGAACCTGATAGATTCAAACTAATATAATTACCCTACTGAGGTGAGGAAACTCCCTTGGGACTAGGGATAGGCTATGCAAAAACCCTCAGTTAAAAATCTCTGGTCCTTGGTGGAAACAGCTGCTGCCTGTGGAGGGGCTGCTGGACTCTGACCTTGGGAGGCTCAGGCCTGTGGGAGAGGGTTGGGCTCTACATCCTTTTGGCTGCTCAGGATCACCAAGTTGAAATAGTATGGATTTTTAACCAATTTGAGTGGCCATTTCTTGATTTTTTTTTTGACCTGAATATAATCTCAAGTTCCTTTTTATAAGATAGGAATTTCCCCAGAAAAATAATCTATGTAGCTCCGCCAGGTGGCACATTGCATATAATCCCAGCATTTAGGAACCTGAGGCAGGAGGATCCCCGAGATTAATCGGAAACCCCATTCCTTGAACCTTCAGTAGGCTGAGGCGGGAGTTAGAGAAAAAAGAATGATTCACCTGAAGGTAGAATTCTTGGGTGCCTCCCAGAATGAGGCAAGAATGTAGCGATGGCTGTTGGCTAAGGAAATCCCCAGAGGGAACTGGAACTGCCCTGAGTGCTGAGTCCCCAGTGGCACTGAAGGGTCAAACATGGACAGGCACTTTGAAATATGAAAACGTCAAATATTTCCAGTTGTCTCAATAAATATGCTTTCTCGTATTGTTTAGAAATATGCATATGTAGTTTAATTACCTTACAAAGCATAGGAGAGATCATTCATGCATTTGGAATTTCCATACACACTTGACCCAAAATGTAATGGCAGGCTCCAGAAATGTCATATTTCAGTGATCATGCGACCTTTTGGGTCATGACGATTTCAGTGCAAATGCTTGGAAATTGTGACATCTTGTAAAGCTGTTCTGCCCTATGTACACTGGGGCCTACTATCAGTGGATTACAGAATTCCTGCAGATATATGGAAGCACATGTGCATGCACACACACACACACACACACACACACACACTGTATATCCTCACTCTATATTTCTCCATCTCATCTTACAATATGGTTCCCAGCTTATTTCTGATTTAGTCAAAAAATTTTTTTAATTTTATGCTGGCAGGAAGCAGTGTGCTTTACTAGAAATCCTACTTCAAATTCTCAATTTTGATTTTTTTTTCAAGGCCAGTAGTATGTGGTTTGAAACACTCTTGTTATGTTGATGAGTTGCAGTGAACTGTAGCACCAATCCCTCAGTCCGACCATCACAAAGAGAACACAACCTCTACTCCACCATATTTGGCTCTGCTTAGCTGTCATGGTGAATAGGTCAGGGGTATGAAACGCACTTTGACCCATGATATTTTCAATTTTTGATGGATTTATCAGAATGTGACCCTATTGTAAATCAAGGACCATCTCTGTATGCAATTAGGTCGTTGTGTCATGGCAATCATATATATTAAGAATTAAGAATCCTTGAGAAATGGAATTGAATATCCAACAAATATCTCTTCTCTTATGGAAAAAAAAGAGCCATTTAGCTAGGAGCCCATTCTCTCCAGCCAGACTACTTTCAGGACAGGAGTCTATCGAACACAGGGTCTGGGAAGGAGGTTTTCTGTATAATACAGAGATTCCACTCACATTCTCACATGGTCAGTTTCCTATATGTGGGGTACAAAGAAAGAGAGAGACGCTGGTCCAAAAAAAAGCCCCTCTGTCAAATTCCCTTTGAAACATATTGTGAACTTGAGTGGCTCTTCCTTCAGCTAAACCTAAGCAGAAAAATAATCTATCTAGGGATACCAAGAGATACTCAGGGCCATAGTACACATGAATAAAATGAGATATCATTGATGGAAAGCTGATGGAAGACTGGTAGCACAATTCTGGGAGATGGAAACATTTACGGTGAGAGCTTTCATGGAATTGAGGAAATTGGACCTCCTGGTATGGACCTGACCCTTGATCCTTCCAGTGAAGAGTTGGAGACACTCACACCAGCTGAGTCGAACAACTTAGACCAGAAGACTCCTTCATAACTCAACAAAATAGAGCAGAGAGCGTGTTTTCACCGTGGAGAAGGAGAGGAGCTCAGAGGAAACTGAAATTCTGGTCTAGGTGGCACGAGTTCCCTCTGCAAAAATCTAAGCAAACATCTTCAGGGCATGGGAGAAGGAACTTTCCAGCTCACCGCAGGTTTTTCTTTCACTTCTTTATGAACTTGGGCCACTGTGAGAAGCGTATCATAACCACGCGAGGAGCAATAATAATCGCCCTCATCCTCAGGCTGGAGGGCAGCAATGCTCAGGGAGGCCGTGTTGCCAGACTTGGAGCCAGAGAAGCGATCAGGGATCCCTGAAGGCCGACTGCTGACACCATATATCAGAAGTTTGGGGGCTGTTCCTGGCAGCTGCTGGTACCAAGAGACAGTATCGTACCTCCCAATGTCACTGCTGGTGCCATCACAGGTGATGGTGATCTTCTGTCCATCAGACCCAGAGGCCGAGGGAGGCTGAGTCAGAGCAGACTGCGCCCGGGTCCCTGAAAAGAGAGCAACTAATTTGGTAAGTCAGTTTTGTGGCCAGTGGACCCTGAGGTAAAGAAACAACCTCGGGCCACAAGTCCCAGTAGTCCCTTCCAGGAAGGCCTCACCGGTGCCCTGCGTGAGGGTCATGAGCAAAAGCAGAGCCCAGGTCATGTTGTGCTACTCCAAGGGTGCTGCCCTCTGACACTGCAGCACTGGTTCTGCAGAGCTTCCCCGGACCTCTTATCCTTCTGCTGCCTCAAAAGAGGGAGGAGTCTCTATGCAGATGTGCTTTCCTCACCCAGGTCTTCTCATTCTAGCCTGGCCTGAACTCTTTGGGCTTCTGTATCCCTGGGCAGCGGGACCCAGCTTGGAGGAAAACTCTTAGTCAGTGCACAATGAGTCCACGGCAGTGCCCAGGAAATGAAGACATCCTCTGTGTCTGTACCCTTATTACTAGACTCTCAGTTGTTCCTAGCTAAGCTGTCTGAGGACTTCCTTTGCCTGCCACATGCAGTGAGAGTGAAGACATCTCTGAGAGGCTGAGAAACACACAATCCCTCTTCTTTTAAAAGGAGGAAATGCGGAGGGGCATTAGTCATCCTTCCCTGGCCCCTTGATTCTCCCCTCACACTGAGTGCATCCTCACTCAGCAGCTGTTCTTCCTTTCAAAGTGGTCTGAGACTGGAGTCAGAGTGTAGTACGCGGGTTACATTGTCCGGGATTCTACAACTGCAAACTCACTGGGCACGACAGACTTGAGACACACACACCATCTGTGTCCTGTCTTCTGGGCCGTCTTGAGGGACTGGCTCAGAAGACAGCTAAGCTGAGTGGCTGTGTCCGGAGCAAGTGTAGGTGTTCCTGGGAGACTCGTCACCGAGAACTGCCCCTGGGAGCATTCTAGGTACCCAGGGGATTTCTGCAAGAAGAAAACAATTGGTCTTCGTAAGCAGCAGCCTCCTCCACTGCTCTTGTTCCTTAGGGCCCCCAGCTGATGTGACAGAAATGATAATTATGTTCTAAACGTGTTCCATACGTGCGTGTCCTCAAAATGAGACTGAAAGAGAACTGAGAACTACAAGTGGAGGCAAAAGAGTTATTTGGACAAAATATGATTAATAATGAAAAAGCAGAGCAGACGAATTAAAAACATACGAAGACCAATTCCAACATCCTCCGTAAACACAATTAAAGTGGATGCTTCCTTTAACGAACAGTATTACTCTTTTCAAAATGTAAAATAGATAGAAAGAGGCTGTGGAAAATATGAAGCATACTGATTTTGTTCCTGTCTCCTTTTCTCTTTGGAGATATTAAAAGGAAAGCAGATCCTAGACCTTGAAACTGATCGACCTAAACCACAGCAAGTGCCCTCACCATCTATCCCTCATTGCCGCCTGGTGTTCTCGGGGTGGGGATGTTGAGCAGGAAAAAAACTGAGTCCCAGTTAGAAAGCTCTGCTCAACCCTTTCCCTCCTTAGTCTTCCCTTGCCAGGAAACCATTGGGTGCTGCGGTCCTTTTTAATTTCGTCTACGTTTGAAGAGATCTTTCAAGTAGTACTAGAGATTAACATGCGTGGACCTGCTTCTATTTCCAAACTATTCAGTAAAATTTTTGTTAAGGAACAAAATCACAGTGACCCACCCAAGGAAATGAATCAGTATACTGAAAAACATTAACACTGTTACGTTATGTTCATTGCAGCATTATACCCAATAGATAAGTTATTGAATCAACCTAAATGTTCATCAGTGGATGAATGAATAAAGGAAATATTGCATATATATATATATGCAAAAGAATGCTATTCAGCCTCAAGGGAAAATATGAATTCTTATCAATGATAACATCTTGATGAATCTAGAAAATATTATGCTATGTAAAATAAACCAGGCACTCAAAGGTAAATGTTACGTGATCTCAATTACACATGGGACCAAAGAATGTTGATTTCAAGAAAGAAGAGAGTGAAAAAAATGGTAGGAGAGCTTAAGGAATATAGGGAGTAAGGGAGGATGGGGAAAATCTGAACACAGAAAGATAGGTAAGAAAATAAATTCTGGTTTGCTATTTCACAGTAGGAAAACTATAGTTAACAAAAATGTTTTGTATATTTCGAGTAGCTATGAGAGACTCTATATAGTTCACATGGAGAAGTAACAAGTATTTGAGGTGTCAGATATTCTAATTACCTAGTTGTCCCATGTGTAAATGTATTGAAACATTTCCTTGTACACATAGATTTGTAGGTTTTTGCTTTTATTTTTTGTGGTACTAAGGATCGAACTCGGGTCCTTGCACTTGCAAGGCAGGTGCTGGAACCACTGAGCTAAATCCCCAGTCCTACACCCATAGATTTGTGCAAATGTCCTGTGTTAGTCTTCTTAAGGGAACAATCACAAGCTCTTTTCTCAGAGCTTCAAGACCAGGAGGCAAGGTGGTCACAAATTCACACAAATTCATTAGTGCCTAGAGGTGTGCGTGTTGCATGGAAAGGCAGGTGCAGGAAACCTTAGGTATAGAAGCCAGGTATCCTGAGGTGGAAAAGAGGTAAACCAGATTCTGACAGAGACAGATTAAAGCCAAGATTGTGTTTTATTATTCTCTCACCTTTGTGCATTTCCCTATTTAAGCTCACTTGTAAATTAACTTGTGGTGTGTAAGGTGGGAGTAGAACCCACATTTACCTAACTCCGGCTCATGCCACAAGGAAACAGTTCCCATATTATGAATTTCTGCAGAACACAGAATGTCCCTGATTTACAATGGTTCTACTTAGCAATTTTTAAATTTACATTGGTAGGATGATGTACCATGACAGCTATTCTGTTTTCCACTTTCAGCACAATAGCCCACGAGTTACATGAGGTTTTCAACACTTCATTATAAAATACATTCTGTGTTCGATGAGTCTGCCCAGCGGTGTGCCGAGCAAAGTATTTTGAGCACTTTGTAAATAGGGTAGGTTAAACTATGATTTTCAGTATGTAGTTGTATTAAAAGAATTTTCAACTTCATATTTTCAACTAGTGGTAGATTTAATAGAAAGTCATCCAATCACAAATACCTGTATTTTGAGAGTAGTATATGCATGTGGCTGTTTTAGACATGTGTGAAATTTCTTTGGTAGATTCCATTGTTGAAATGTGGACTCCATTTCTCCCTCCTGGTTAGCCAGAGAGGACACTGTTGTTCACTCGTCACAGACAGATGCTACAGAACTGGGCCTGTGCAGCTCAAAATTGTCTGTAAAGACCGTGGGCTTCTGCCTGGAATTACTTGGGTCGCCTACCTTTGGAGGCTGCAGCACCAAGTCAGCACCCTAAACATCACCAGGGCCCAGCTTCCAGGAGGACCAGACATGTGAGGTCCTTACCCGGGCCCCCGGAGAACTCATCACCCACAACAGACCTGTTGGAAATTTCCGTCCACGTTGTTTCAACCCCTTGATGTTAATCTGCCCAGCAGTGAGTGCCCAAGTCTCCACAGTCCCCAGACATCACCGAGCAGAAATGATCCATTCTCACTCCATCTTCAACCAGAATCCCTATCCTCTTCAACCATGAGCAAATTAGCATGGTGGTGTTATACTACCATTTGGAGGATCATTGAAAATAGCCACAGTAAAAACAAAAAGAGGAACACGGAGAACACTGAAAAGAAAGAAAAGACTTTAGATTAAAACCTGGCTTTCTTCCCTTTCCTCCCCCACACTAGCCAGAGGTCTGCTTCTGAAGCAAGAACAGCCCAACCTCTGCATGCTCTTCCAGATGTTCTAATAGATGTTACATGTTCTAAACATGTAACACTGCCACTGTGACAGTTTTCTGAGGGCTCTGCCTGCATTTACTCTTTAAGTCTGCATTTTCTGCAAATACTCAACAAGCAGCAGAAACGTTCTCTGTTCCTTCCGACTGTCCTCTGCAAATGGCAAGCTCAGTCAATACCCTTATTGCCTTTCAGATGCTCTTTCCCAAGCCACATGGTTATATTTTTCCTTATTTGTTGAGGTACTGGGCATTGAACCCAGGGCATTTGCACCCAGTCACAACCCCAGTACTTTATTTTGAAAGGGGGGTCTTAGCAATCCATGAAGTTACTCAGCGCTCCAACTTGGAATCTTCCTCCCTCAGGTCCCAGACTGCTGGGACTACAGGCATGTGCCACTGACCCTTGCATGCTGTCTTAATGTATTTCATAGTTCTTTTTAATTTTCTCCTATTAGCATTCCGAGGTGTGACTCACTTTCTAGTCTCTCTCTCTTCCTTCCTCCCTCTCTGCTTGTTCCCTCTCTCCCCCATTCCCTCTCCTTCTCCACTCCTATCTTTCTCTACAAAAACACACAGAGATACAGACACACACAAAGAAACGTGGCATTCATCCAAACACACACTTTTTCATATTGGTAAAATCATATTCTCTATACCTGTAGTTACAGTTGTTTGTTATAATGCTACTTAAAATAAAACCAATTAATATATTCTCATGAGGGAATTTTGGTCCCCCGTCTTTAAGGAGAAACAGTAGAATGTGCTGGTGTCCTTCTCTGCCTATGCAGATACTGATTAAAGGATCCCATTGATGCTACAATAGTCAGGGATCAAATCTCATCTTACACGCCAGACAGGACACCACGAAAGCACCTTCTCCACCCTCTGCTGGTTATTGCACAAGCACAAACACTACAAGATTCACATAGACACAACCTCTGACCAGATTCACATAGACACAGCCAGAAGCCAGGCCATTATTCTGAGAATCCAAGCCGAGACGTTCCTAACCACTGCTGCTGTGAAGCCATTACTGAGAGGTCCAGGATTGGTTCTGCTCCATCCCAGATGACTACGGAGTGAAGCTGCAGACTATTTACTGGGAAGGAAGTGGGTACTGAGGAAGAGATCTGCGGGCAGGGGAATTAATCAGAGCATGGTGAGAAAGCCCGAGTGCTCACGTAAAATATCCTTCCATATTGATTTGTCCAGAAATGAGGTTGGTGCCAGGGTACAGAGCATTAGAAGCAAACACTGGGAAATTCTGGCAAATGGGAAGAGTTAGTCATGTGGGAAATGATGCTGGGATCGATTGGGTTGACAGAATTGTTAGCCAGATATTCATATATACATGAACTTTGTCAACTGCTATGACTGATATTCTCAATGGAAATTGGGGTTCCACACCATAGAAAATCAGATAATGCTTGGGATCCATGTCCAAGAAATCGTACACCGGACATCCCTTTTTTCTGGAACAAAAGACCTATCTTGGGAGCAGTCCATCTCAATGCAGAGAAAGTCAGCCTGCAGGACACTTTCAAGTCAAAGATCAAACATCTCATGAAAGCGTCAGTTCTGACCAAGTAAAGAGTCTCAACTTGAGCGCTGCTCAGCTCAGTTTCCTTGGATGTGAAGATAAAACCGGGTTCTCCAAGGAATATAGCAAGCTCACCTTTGTTCTCTTCTCATCAGCAACACCCATTAATTACCAGTAGACATGCCCATGAGTAATCCAGCGAAGAGGGTGACTTAATCATGGAGGACCCAGGCTCTAATAAGAAAACAAGATACCTGCAGGACTGAGCTTAGCAAGTCTTCAGTGTGGGTGACGGAATCACAGAGAGTGAGGCTTTCCCCGAGAGCGACTTCAACGATACCACTCCTTCTTGCTTCAGATCTACTGCTGAAGAGTTGACAATCGTGTAGCCCATAAGCCAAACAGTGAGAGAGCCAGGCACATCCTGAAAAGCCAAAAGAAGGGAAGTAGTGCTTCCTTTAAAAATCATTCTAAATCATTCTGCACTAGGCAGAGGTACATCTGTAGAGGAAGAAAAAGCCAGTGAATGCATGACAGGTATGGTACCAAAAACTTCATGAAAAACATTAATTTTGTGTTAGGTGAGTCTGCCCAACGGTGTGTTTATTAAGTAGGGTAGGCTAAATTAGGAAGTTCGATAGTGAAATTTCAACTTAATATTTTCCATTAGGGGTAAATTTAAAAGAAAGTCAGGCTAACGTAGCTTGAGAAACACCTGTACTCTGAGAGTGGCATATGCACTCGGATGTTTCAAGCATGTTTAAAATATCTTTGAAATGTTCCCCACTGAAAGGTGGAGTATAGCGCCGCCTCCTGGTTAAGCAGAGAGGATACTATTGCTCTCTTGTCACAGACAGACGCTGTGCGATGTGAAATTATGTCTGTAAAGGCTGTGGGCTCTGCCTGGTGTCACCTGGGTCACTTACCTGTGGAGGCCTCAGCACTAGGCCAGCACCATGAGTGTCCTCAGTGACCAGCTGACAGAAGGACAGGACAACACGTAGGGTTCTTACTGAGTCCCCCACACAGCTCCTCATCCAGGGCAGATCTGCTAGCAAATCTGCATCCGTGTTATTCCAACCCCGTGGTGTTCATCAGGCCAGCAGTGAGTCCTCAAGTCTCTGCAGTCCCCAGGCATCACCAGGCAGAAACGAACCATTTCACTCTGTCTTACTGGAAACTCTACCCACCTCTACTGTGAGCAAAACAGCACAGTCATGTCATAATTGGATGATTATATTTACACCAGAGAAACTATTCGGTATTTACACATGTGTCTTATTCATTTCATTTAAGAGTATGGCCTCAGTATGAATCCATTTTCCGATGAATGACTCTAGTTTCTCATTCTTCATGGCTGAGTAGTACTCCGTTTTATGGAAAAACCACATCTACTTTATCCAGTCTCTAACTGATGGGCAATTGGGCTGTTTCCAAGTTTTACTACATATTAAAACTGTGTGGAGGATTATATTTAAAAACTTATAGTGAAGGGGCTGGGGATTTAGCTCAGCAGTTCGGTGGCCTGCCTTGCAAGCGCAAGGACCTGAGTTCAATCCCCGGTACGCACCCCCCAAAAAATAAAAACTTATAGTGAAGGGGCTGGGGATTTAGCTCAGCAGTTCGGTGGCCTGCCTTGCAAGCGCAAGGACCTGAGTTCAATCCCCGGTACGCACCCCCCAAAAAATAAAAACTTATAGTGAAAACAAGAAGAATAACATAGAATACTGAAAAGGCACAAGAGTTCACTTTGAAATCTGGCTTTGCTTTCTTGCTTTTCCCACAGCAGATCAAAGTCTGCTTCTGAAGGAACATCTGTTCAATCTCGGCACATTCTTCCAGATTTTCTAATTGAGCGATCCTGAAACACTGACACTGTCACAGTTTTCTAAGGTCTCTGCCTGCATTTACTCTTTAGTCTGCATTTCCTGTGGAGGCAAGAACGTTCTCTGTTCTTTCTGACTATCCCTGCAAATCACCGTCTGTACCAATATCCTTATTTCTTTTCAAATGCTCTTCTCCCACTGAATGGTTGCACTGTTGCTTTGTTTGTTGAGCTAGTTGGGATGAAACCTAGTGCATTTGTACTAAGCCACAAGCCCAATACTTCTTTATTTTCAGCTTTAATTGAGTTTATTGGCACATTTTAGTGATACAGTACAGTTACATTCATTGTTGGGATCTTGTCCAATACTTCTTCTTTACAGACAGGGTCTTGCTAATTCACTAAGTTGCCCAGGTTGAGTTTCAACTTGCAATCTTCCTGCTAAAGCCTCCTGGGTTGCTGGGATTGCAGGTGTGTGCCACCAGCTCCTGCATAGTGTTTTACTATGTTCCCTAGTTCTTTTTTATTTTCTATTAGCATTCAGATACATGAGTCTCTTTTTTAGTTTCTCTCTCTCTCCTGCCATTCCCTCTCTCTCTCTCTCTCCTTTTCTGTCTCTAGTACAAACACACCCTGGCACAGACAATAAGAAGCACATGACATGCATGCACACACAATTTTTCATATAGGCAAAATCACATTCTCCAAATCTGGTGTTAATGGTGCTCTTTACAATGTGTCTTCTTATAAAACCAGTTAATGCACTCTAATGAGGAATTTTGGGTTCTCCTGTCTTAGAAGAGAAACACTAGAATGTATATTAGTGACTCCTGCCCATCCCTGCCTGTGTAGATATTGGCTAAAGACCCCCACTGATGCTACCATAGTCAGGGATCAAATCTCATCTCAGATGCCAGAGAAGACATCACAAAAGCACCTTTTCCACCCTCTGCTGGTTATTGACACAAGCACAAATTCTGGAAGACAGTACAGCCTCTAACCAGCTTTGCATAGACACAGCCAGAGCTCAGGGCGTTATTCTGAGTCTCCAATCCCACAGGCTCCTGCCCACTGCTGCTGTGAACCAGCTGCAGAGAGGTCCAGGTTTGGTTTTCTTCTGGCCTAGATGACTGAAGAGTGAAACAGACTCTGGGAAAGAAAGATGTATGGGAAAGAGATCTGGGGATGGGGGATTAATCAGAACATGATGAAAAAAAATCACGAGGTCTCAGGTAAAGCATTCTTCTACGTTGATTTCTCCAGAAATGAGGCTGGTGCCAACACACAGGACTTTAGGTGGTAACACTGGGAAATTCTAGCAAATGGGAGAGTCAGTTATCTGGGAAATGATGCTGGGTTCAATGGGATGTAGAAAGAACTGTCAGCCTGGGGAGAGGAAAGGAAGTTTTGTGTATAACACAGAGATTCTACTCACATTCTTACAGTTAGTTTTCTATACATGGGGTAAAAAAAAAATGACAGACACTGATCCAAAACCACCTTTGTCACGTTCCTTTTGAAACATCATGAAAAACTGGAATGGCTCCTCCTTCAAAAATACCTAGTCAAAAAATAACCTGCCTAAAGACACGGCAGGATATTCAGGGCCATGTTAGAAGTGAATAGGATGAGATATCACTGATGGAAAAGGGAATGAAGCCTGGATGTCACAATCATGGAGACGGAAATGCCTACAGTGAAGATATTTATGAACCCGAGGAAACTGACCTCCAGGCGTGGACTTGAGCCTCTGCTTCTGCAAGTGAAGGGTTGGAGACGTTCACACCATCTGGGGCCCCAAAACTCAATACAGAGGATGACTTTCATGTTTCCAAGGCATAAATCAGGGAGTGTAATATTTTTACTATTCACTGTGGCAGAGGAGAAGAACTCACACAAAACAGTAGTTATGAGTTATGTGGCAGGAGAGTCTTCTGCACAGGGCTGGGAAACATCTTCAGAGCATGCAGGAACTTCAGATCTCAGTGCAGGTTTTGGTCTCACTTCCCCATGAACTTGGACACTGTGGTAAGTGCTACTGCCCGCATATGAAAAGCAGTAATAATCAGCCTCATCATCAGGCGCGAGGCCAGAGATGATCAGGGAGGCCGTGTTGCCAGACTTGGAGCCAGAGAAGCGATCAGGGATCCCTGAAGGCCGATTACTCACACTATATATCAGAGGTTTGGGGGCTGTTCCTGGCAGCTGCTGGTACCAGGAGACATAATTATAGCCCCCAATGTCACTGCTGGTTCCAATACAGGTGAGGGTGACCTTCTCTCCAGGAGACCCAGAGACTGAGGGAGGCTGAGTCAGAGCAGACTGCGCCCAGCATCCTAAAGGAGGGAAAAATACTCTCTGGTGAGTGAGCCCTGAGTCCAGTTGAGGTGTGGAGAGGGAACAATCTCAGACCACCTGTCCCAGTGGCTCCTTCCCTGGAAGCCTCACCTGTGTCCTGAGTGAGAATCGTGAGCAGAAGCAGAGCCCAGGCCATGGTGGAGACGCTCCAAGTCTGCTCTCTCGGGACACCTGGGCCCTGGGCAGGTTCCCCAACACCTCTTTTATGTCCACTTCTGCCTCAGAGGAGGGCGGGGCTTCCACGCAAATCTGCTTCCTGCCTGTCATTCTACTCTGGCCAGCCCTGGACTCCAGTCACTCTGCAGGCATGGAGAGCAGGACTTAGCGGGGATGAAATCCTTCCTTCCTTCCTGTCTTTCTTTCTTCTGTCTTCCATTGCTTTTTTTCCCCCTATTCTCATTTTTGAGACAGGTCTTGGTAGGTCGTTCCAGGCTGGCCTTGAACTCACTGTGTAGCCCAGGCTGGTCTTGAACTCATGGCAATGCTCGTGGCTCAGCCTCCAAACTATTGGGGTTAAAGGCCTGTGCCACCATGCATGACTCAAAATTCTATGACACGTATTGTCTGAGTCATGGTACAATGAGTCCATGACAGTGTCCAGAAATGGTACCAGCCAGCATTTCTGTCTGTACCCTTGCTATTATGATATTTTAAATCAATTATTCCCAGCCAGGGAATCTGAGGACTTCCTCTGCCTGCCAGTGTGTGACGTGACTACCAACAGTCTGTGAGAGGCTGACAGATACCAGTCACTCCTCTCTGGGACCAACTGCAGAGAAGGGAGTCTCATTCCTCCTCTGCCTCTTCTGTTTCCCCTCAGAGTGGATTCTCCTTCCACATTCTCACCTGATTCTCTACATTCATGTGATGATGGGGCTTCAGAACGGGGCCCGCGGTTCACTGACTGGTCCTTCTATACATACACTACGGGCTCAAAGACTTTGAAACAAACACGGCATTTGCTCCCCTGTATAGGAGCCCAGGAGGAAACAGCTCTTCACACATAGGACAGTGTGAACAACAGCAATGGCCTTCCGCACTCCAGGCCCATGTTGCCCCCTGGTGGCCACTCCTGGAGGTCCCGAGGCACAGAAAGGGCAGCTGAGTAGGAGCTGGACTTTCCTGCTCTACTCCCGTCCTCCATTCTTCTTCCTCCTCTCAGGACAGACTCTCTGATTCCTTCTGTTCTGATGTCCTCCAGCACCCCATGGAGACTGGCTTCAGCCAACATGGAATGTGTGTCCTGTCTCAGCAAGAACAGAGCTCCCACCTCACACACACCTCACCCTGCACTTGTCTTAGAACAGTTCTTACTGGGTGAGTGCTTCTGAGGAAGCTGTACACTAAATAAGGGCTGAGAAAATGTAAGGCCTGAAGTAAACCCAATTCCAGTAGGAAGGCTGAATGACAGTAGTGTTATTAATGAAAGGCAGAATCACTCTCAAAATGCTGGCAAAACTAATGCTGCATGAGCAGGAGAGAGTTTGGCAGGACTGAGGGAGACCTAGAAGAACGCAAGAGTTGAATTCTACTCCTGGATAATGTGGGACAAGGAACTGGGGTTGGGAGTGGCCTAAGGACCAGCACCAGGGGCCTCTGATGGAGTTGAGCACATCTGCCTGTCAAGGGGACTCAGGATCCCTGGGGTCTTGCTTCCTCTGTGTACTGTGACACATGGTGTCTTTAGAGACAAAGTCTTCACCCACAGGGAACACTTGGTGAATGTGCTGTCCGAGAAAAGGTGGTTTAGAGATCCAAACTCTGGGACAGCCTGGAAAGTGAAAGAATCCAAGGAAAAATGTCTGCTCGGGCAATGGGCTATAAGGTTTAGAGTGTGAATATTATGAGGAAACATTTCAGTGACACAGTTGATACCGTGAGGGACATTTCAAAAACCCACAAGAGAGATCATGCCTTGGCCAAGGGGAGGATGAGCTACATGGTAGCCAATGAAATCGGAAGAATTAGAACAGGTGGTTGGCAAGAAATGACAGTCATGAAGTCATGAGTGTCGCTTATCTTTAAAGCATGTTCGGTGTTATGTTATTTTCGTTCATTTAGCTAATAGTGTCTATAATCTGACAATAGTAAAGTGGTAGAGGTGAACGCCCTGTTCAGTAAAACAGCAGGCTGACTGTGTGTACCTAGGTTGGAGGTCAATGGCCTGTGTCACGGTCACTTGGGATCACTGCAGTGAGTTTCCCTGGGTACTTTCCGGATAACCATGTGCTTTCTGCAAAAAGCCAATCTCTGCTCTTCATGAGGAGCTGGGCTGATTTCTTCTGCCTGATCTGCTAATACCAAAGTGGACATAGGGCCTCTACCTCATCCTGAATGGGACAGTATTTTTATTCAAAGCCCATCTATCAGTCGAGCATGGTGATGCCTGCCTGTAATCCCAGCACTCTCCGGGCTGAGTAGAGGACGGAAACTTAAGTCCAATCTGTGCGACTTTGTGAGGCCCTGACTGAAAATGACAACTAAAATGGCCAGGGATGTGGCTCTGTGCAAAGGACCTGGGAACAATACCCTGTAGCACCAAATTGAATGGAATAAATATAACAAATATGGACCTAGCTACCTGTGTCCTTACAATATGAAATGAACAGTAAGTACTAAGATCTACAAATGCTACCCATGAGCAGGAGGCAGAAAATAGACTCTCAAAATACAACTGCTGACTAGTAAAATAAAGCAAATAAATTAAAAATATGAGCACCACTGCTCACATGATTATCGGGGAAAATTAAAGCTAATGTTTCCTTGTGCAAATGCAGTCTTTTGAGAAATGGCCAGAGATCCTGAAGTGGGTGAATTGTAAGGACGCCCCTGCAGCATTCGGGGCCCCAGTGGCTGTCCTGGGCGGGTCTCTGTGTCCACCACAGCCTGAAGAGAGAGGAAGAGGAGCCTGAAATGGTGCAAGTGACAGGAAGTTTCTTAGTAGAAGAAAGCGGTACCAGGCCACCCTGAGGGAGGGGTCTGGGCCCAGGAGTCCCCGTGGGGTTTGTCTGACTTCACGGGATGCTGCAGCTTCGGACTTGAGCCAAAGTGAGCACAGGAGGATGGAGACACAGCCTCCTTCTGGGAGAGGGACAGGAAAGGGCAGCTGGGTCAGGTGGGCGGGTGGGGAACCCGGAGCCAGAACTCAGGGCGTTATTCTGAGTCTCCAGTCCCACTGCTCCCGCCCACTGCAGAGAGGTCCAGGATTGGTTCTGCTCCAGCCTAGATGACCAAGGAGTGAAGCTGCAGACGACTGATTGGGAGGAAAGAGGTACTGAGGAAGAGATCTGGGGTGGGGATGAAGCGGAACACGAAGAGAAAGCCTGAGCGCTGAGGAGAACTAGTCTTCCACACTGATCGTCCAGCAGTGAGGCTGGGGCCAGGAAACAGACACTTAGGTGCTAACCCTGGGAAATGCTGGCAAGCAGGGGATCTGGGAAGGGATGCCGGGCTCAGTGGGATGTTGAAGGCAGTGTGAGGCAGATACTCACACACAAATCAACTTGGTCCATCATTGTGATGAGAATTCAGCTGGAAATTAGGGTGTCTTATGATAGAAAACTACACAATCTGTGGGACCTGTAGCCAAGAAGGCAGACACGCACCAGGCATCCTTCTTGCTGGAACAAGAGATCTGCTTGGGACCGGTCCATCCTAATGCAAAAAAACGTCACCCTTCAAGTAAAGGTACAAGATCCCAATGGTGAATGCAACTGTACTGTACACCTAAAATGTACCAAAAAACTCAACAAGAAAAAAAAAGCTATAACATCAAGTTACACATCAATAAATCCAAGAGAAATTAATAAAACTGTGATATCATCATAAAAAAGACAAAAGTCATCCTGCAAGACCCTTTCAAGTCACAGTTCAAACATCTGAGGGAAGGGGCGATTCAGACCAAGCACAGAGTCTCAGCAAGAGTACTGCTCAGCTCAGTTTCCTTGGAAACGCACAAGAACACTGGGACTCTCCACGAAATGCAGGACTCTCACCATTCTCCTCCTCCCCTCAGAATTGCCCGTGAATTATTTGCTCTATTGTGTTCTTTTCCTAACAGCCATGCCCGGGAGCAACTCAACAGGAGGGCGACTTTCACTTGGTGGACTCGAAATCCAATAAGAAAATATGATGTGTGCAGGACTGAACCCAGGAAGGCTTGAGTGTGGGTGATCGCGTCAGTGAGGGTGAGGATTCCTGGAGCTGCTCCACCAGTTGAACTCCCTCTCGCTGTAAGTCTACTCTTGAAGAGTTTGAGCAAAATAGTGCGTTCAAGGCCAGCCTGACCTATATAGAGACCCTATGAAAAGCAGACAGAGGCAGAGGATTTAGCTCAGTGGTGCTTCTGTGTTCCCCTCAAGTGCAAGGTCCTGAGTTTGATCCCCTTCATAAATAAAAAAAAAAAAAAAAAAAAAAAAAAAGAGAGAGAGAG